GTATATACTTATCTTCCTGTACACATAGATGATTGTACACTAATTTTTGGTTAGTGCTGTTGCTAAGTTATGTCATTTTATATACCACAAATATCCACCAAGTAGTATACAAGCTACGCAACTTACAGCCATATTTGGGGCTACTACCTCTCTTTTTTGGTAGGGTGGAGATGCAAAGGCAGAGTTTCAGAGCCATGCATCAATCACAGAACAAGAGGGAAACAAAACATTCCAGACAACTCTTGAGAAAAGTTACCAAGAAAGTCATCAGGCTTTACATCTACCACTCAACTGTGGTTTCACAGCAGGCTGTGTTCATTCCTGCATTTTCTCAATCAGTTCTTCCTCATATTTCCCTTTTTCTTTTCCAACATGCCAAGAATTGGCTTTGTGTTCATGATTTTTTTTCTGATCTTTGTCCAACTTCAGTCTGGTGATGACCATCTTACTCTGGTCAATACCCACATGGACAGTTGTGCCATTAGCTTTCCCGCTCTGCATCTGCTTGATGTAGATGATGTACTTCTTTCTGTACACCTGGACCACCTTTCCGATTTGCTGGCCTTTGTTGTGTCCTCGAACTACCTGCAACTCATCGTCCTTGTGGATGGGCATGGAGCACACATTATACTTCTGAGACAGCTCCTTGGAATTTGGGGACAACATGATCTTCCTGCTCACATGTCAGGGAGCATTGAAGTGGCATTTACGGTACTTGCTGTGGTCTGAAGTCATGAAGGGGTTGAACTTCATGGTGACTGTCGGGCATCAGGCGGACCTAGCCATTTTAATAAATCTTAAATTACACACTCACCATTTTAAGCTCTCATTGTCACTATCTGTATCCAGAAATTTTATACCACATCAAACAGAACTTGGTATCATCCCAAACAGAAACTTGCTGTTCTCTCAGGAATAGCAGCCATTCCCTCCATCATCACTTAACAAACATCTGTCTCTATGTTTATCTAGTCTATATATTTCATGTACATGGGATCATTAAATATTTGCCCTTTTGTCTGACATATTTCTCTTTCAATAATGTTCTCAATGTTATTTATATCACAGCAGGGATCAGCTTTTCGAATGACAGCAAAATAATCCATTCTTTTGATAGGCCACACTTCTTAAATCCAATGTGAATGGTGCTATAATGAGGATTGGTGCCCATATGTTTGTGTTTCAACATTCAGTTCTTTTGAGTATACTTAATAGTAAAAGGAGTAAATTCTGTGTTTAATTGTTCTGTTAAGTGCTATTCTGAGTCATCGGGCCTACTCACAAAAGAGTTCACCACCACCACACGGTCCTGCGCTGTCCTCACTATTGTTCATGTTTTAGCCCAGTGGTTCTCAACCTTCTTAATGCCATGAACCTTTAATACAGTTCCTCATGTTGTGGGGACCCCCAACATAAAATTAGTTTCGTTGCTACTTCATAACTGTAATTTTGCTACTCTAATGAATTGGGTGACCCCTATGAAAGGGTCATTCGACCCCCAAAGGGGTCATGATCCACAGGTTAAGAACC